GTCCTCAGGCCGCGGCCGGGTACGCGCGCCAGGGGCTGCGCGCGGGACTCCTGGAGCCCACACGGAAAGCGCGTGGCCGCCTGCGCACCCCCGAAAGGGATGCGATCCTCTACCCTTGGAGCGGAAAGGGGTCCCGAGAATGCGGAGGTGGCCCTAGAGCCTCAACCCACTCCCCAGAAAGCGCTCGTGCGCCTCAAAACTGTAGCCAGCCCTAGGGAAAAAACGGGAGGGGCAAAGCGAGCCAGGGAGGTTGTCGTGGAACCGGCCAAAGAAACATGAATGGGAGAAAGAAAGACTCACCCACCCCACGCGATCGCGATCGCGCTCGCAAAAGGAAACATCCTTTTAAGCGTAGAATGAAGAGTAAATTACTACAGAGCAAATCTTAAGAATAATCGACTCTTTTTGGCGCTGAATTATCTCACTATGTGTTTAAAGCAGAACAAAAAAAAAAGTCATCTTTTTATACACTCAGTGCCTCCTCCCACTTTCTAATTTCTGCCTCAGGCGCCATCTTTAGTTCTGAGTCACCAGGAATGGAAAAATAGTAAACTCATTCCTCGACTCTTGAATTTTCCGCAGTTGTGGTCAAGCACTATAACCTGTTGCTTCTTTTGTACAGTGAGAGCGTTATGCATATTTATTTGGAAGCCAGCTCTCCACTTCCACTGGCATCGCAACGTTACAAAGCATATCGCATTTGTTTCTCCAAATCCTGTGAGAAGGCACTGAGATATATTACCAATCCAATGCATCTCAAAGTGAACTGGCCATCATCCACTCAAAACCTACTCCCCTTTCTGGATTTCCATCTTGGTTTAAGCCGCCATCATCCTCCCAGTGTTGTGGTTAGATACCTATAGAGCATTCTAAATATCTCCTTCATTAAATCACGTCCGTTCTACCTTAACATCCATCCTAACTCTAACTGCTTAATGCCAGCCTTCATGGTGTCTCACGGGGATTATTGTAAGACAGACTCTTTACTAGTCCCCCAATTCAAGTTTTGACCCCTCTATTCCATCCTCCACATTGCTAACTAGAACGACTTCACTAAAATGGAAATCCGATGTTATTCTCTTGAAAATTCTTCAAACACGATCTGTAGGAGAAAAATCTAGTTATTTTGCCTACCATCCAAGTCATTCTGTCTCTGAGAAGTTTCATTTCTCATTGCCACCTTACAATTTTATGCTTCTGCAATATTAAAGTAGGTACACAACAATCCACACCTTTTCATGCCCCAGTTCTTGCACATATTGTCTTTTTTTTTTAAAAATCCCTTCTTGTAAATTTCTACTTCTGCATGTTTCAGCCCAAATATTGTCCATCCTTTGAATCTTAACTGGGTTGACTAATTCCTCCAAACACTCCTGCTATATATCCTATTATGTGTTAGAGACTCATTCTATAAATTTTTTAATTTTTTGTATTGTACTTTAATTTTTCTAGCCCGAAGATCAACCACAGTACCTATCAAATAATTGGC